TCTTTTTCTTTCCTTCCAGGTCCTTTACCCTGAAACAAACTAAAAAGCTCAAGAATTATGATGTGTTATAATCTTGCTTTGACCCTTAGCAACAAGAACACTTGTAGCAATGAGCAATATCAGTACCTGGAATGTTATGTCTTACCTGTTATACTAAAATATGAAAAATTATTCAAATGAAGAAAAAAGCCCCCAAAAAACCTCCTGAATATGATCAGTGTTTGCAATGTGAACTAAGACTATAAAATTCAAAATTTTATTCTTCAAGTTTAAGCTCAATAACCTTTTTACTTTTGCAGTGGAAAGTATTCAAGTTATGCACGAATCTCAGTACTCTAGAAAATAAACCAACAAAACTAGATCATCTCAAGGAAGAAGACAGTTTTAGTACTTTACGTTGAAGCTGAAGACTGCAGCTCTACTAGGCAGGGAAAGAAGGACAAACCTATTCTCATTACCATCTTAAACCCTACCCTGCATAGGTATACAGGCTACCCACATTGGTAACAGCTCATAGCTAAACATGTGGAAGAGCTGATCTTAGGGTATATCTCTTCCTTCTCCTTCAATATTTTCTTACCCCTTGATTCTTCTTTTTTTCCCCTCTTCCAGGTTTTCCTACTAGTCAATTTAAGGGGCACCTAAACTTCCTACATTCATACCTATCACTGATTCAATTTCTATGCAGAAGATTCTTTCCTGTTTCTTGACAGGTGGTTGACAGCTTATAGGTTTCCTGCCGCTGCTTCTTTTTCATGTCCACAATCTGTGTTGCTTGTAATTAAACACCAGTGTTGCCTTTGGCCTCTCAACAGTTTGGTAAGTCAACCAGAAAACAGAGACCAGAGCAGACCTGCCACAATCAAAACCTATCAACTACTCCTATTGACTCTGAGAAGAAAAACACTTGACTCACACAAATTAGAAGGTTTAGCCAGTGAAGTAAAGCCTCTCATTTTCTGCTTTTGAAAATTGGTATTGGAAATCAGCACCTAGCATAAGCCAACTCCTGTTAGGTATCCTCATTTCTGTGTTTTTAGAAATCTTGGCTAATAAGAAAACTAATAGCAATTTTATAGAACAGCTTATTGTTAAATTCTTCCCAATTGCTACCAATGGCTGAGAATCCCAAGAACAACAGTCAGAAGTTTTGGTTAATCAGTTCTGCTTTGTTCCTTCTCCCCTCTGCAGTACCATAAAACATGTCACTGGGATTTGTAAGTCTTTAGAGGCAAGGTCAGCAAGGTTATTTCAATGTGTAATTATTTTTAAGACATACAGATATTCCCACGCAGTTGGCATGGGTGTTTTACCAGGACTCAAGTTGGATTCCTGCCAGCAAATTCAGTAAGCACAGAACTGATCTCCTTAGAAACTAAAATTTGAAATTCATTTCCAGATTTTGAGCTCACAAATATGTGAACCTATTCAAAGCTGCAAGTTTCATTTTCAAAGTGCTTATAACAATGAACTACCGTAAACAAATTTTTTTTTTTTACTTAAAACTAGGAATTTACTTATCCTACTAAACAAAGCAAAATGGAGAGAAGTCAATGGCCCTTTCTCTAAAGGTTAGATGGTTCTTTGATTTAAAGAAGTATGGAAAAGAATATTGGTGTACTGATGCCAGCTGCATGAGCTCACCACACACAAAAGTGGTGACTTTCTTGTAGTCACAGAGTAGCGAAAGAGTTTTAGCTGCTGGAGAGACTTTTGAAGAAACTGCACTAAAATAAAGAAGCCTGTCTTTACTCTGTCAAGAGACAAGCCAAATGCATAGAAATACAAGTATATAGGTCTGGCTGTATTTCCTGATTTTTTTGTGCCATACACAGCTTGGGCAAATTCATAGACAGATTCAAACACTAACTATGCTGAGTTTCCAAGTGATAGCTAAAAAAAACCCAAGAAAAGTCACATAAGGAGGTTAAGGGGAAAACATGCCACAGTTAACAGCAACCTACATGTGAGCAGTGGCAAAACCATTTATCCTAAAGATACTAAGAGGCAGATGCCTATAAACACAAACTTTTGAGATAAGAGAATAGTGTTTCAGTATACTGCTTGAGTATATCATCAGTGGTAGTTTTTATAGAGTTCATACCTCCCACCAATAAATCCTACTCAATAGTTTTAAAATACAAGGCAGTACAATAACAATCCAAGTTCAAGTGAGAAATAGAATACTGGTGCATATTTTCTATAGGCTCCACTTAGATACATATGCCCACAGAAAAAATGTTGCAGAACAGCTGTCTCAGAACTCCACCACAGTCCCAGCCCTAGACATTTTCAGCTGTCAGAGCCTAAGGGTAACTTTTCAGTGCAGCCTGGCTTACAATGAAACAAACAGATCCTGTTTCCAGGGTTACAATTATCAGCTAAATAAATAGAATTTTTTTAACTTATCTACTAAACACATCAGTGGCAAAACCGCAATTGCTTACGATAATGAACCAAATACAGGTGTGTCTGCGTGCAGCCAGTCATTTCTGCAAGCAAGAACATCCAAGAGGTGGAGCAGAAATCAGGCAGAGTGATTGGAGAAGCCTAACACACTCCCAGGAATGTGACTTGAAACAGAGCAATAGAGAGCTGAAGTGCCCCTCTGCTGAAATGGAAACGATTTATTATCTGAATGTTTCCTCTCTCCAACCCTCCCCACAACTAAGCCCTTTTTATTTCTGTGGTATCTGACTTGCATACAGTTTGAGGCAATAAATTCTCTCCTGTTTTAATATTAAATACAGTAAAAGTTTAATAACAAGGAGATGGCTTCTCAGGGGTAGAACTCCATGTTGGTTGATGGCTCAATCCTCTTATGATTTCAACCACAACTTTTTCAGCAACTTCAATGAGACCAAGACTGAGATCCTTGGAATGCATCTTCACTGTGCCAAAAAAGGGTTTGCCTTGATTTTTTTTGAAACAAAGTAACAACAATCAGCTCTATAATGGAGCTGAAAATATGACTCAGTTCATTAAGAAAAACAGACTAACCAAAATACTGATCAAGTTCAAACATACATCCACCTCCTCCATCAGGAACAGCCAATTTCTTTATCTGGCATCTGCTAGACAGCATCTAAACTATGGAGGAACCGCTGAATAAAATAATTTGCTGAACTCAAACACCAGTTGGCTCTTGCATCAAACCAAATTCTGATCTAAGTTAACACTGACTTTGGTTAATGATAATGACTCTGTGATGTACAAATTATCAGGGAAGACCTGAAGTTGCATATTATATCTGAGAACTCTCAAATTCTGAAAATGAGTGTTCTGTTTTAAAGTCTTAAAAATCTGCTACACTGTGACAGCTCAAAAAATGCACCTTCCCCTACCTGGCCCTTCTTCCATTACTATTAGCCCAATACCTGTACAAATGCTTGTAATAGTGAAGCTTCTTCCATTGTGTGAATTATAACAAATATACAAGTATAAAACACAATGACTGCACGAAGGTTTATAATGGCAGTGCCAGAAAAAATAAACAAAAGCAATAAAACCAAGCAAACAAACTCCTCCACAAGAAAACCCAAACAAAAACTCCAAAAAATCAACAACTCAAAAATAAAACTTTAAAAGCAAACAAGTATACTGTTAAAATATATTTAAAAGCACATAAGTTCTCATCAGCAAATAACAGGCTTAGACTCTCATTTCTAGCTGTAGTCAATAGACAACACTGCTCTTTTTCTAACCTAAGTACAGGAAATTCTTCAAAGAAGTTGAGCAATTAATAGCTGACTTCAAATATAAGTAAGCTGTATTAGCAAAGTTCACAGAAATTTAACATTTAATCCAGACTAAATCATATGGCTCCCATTACCATTAGCAAATTACTGTATAAAACTTTTGCTTACAAAAAGATAAGTTAGTTCCTTTAGATTATGAAGGAAAACCATTCAGCATGAAAGGCATTGCAAACCTAATAAAACCTATTCTATTAAAAGGTAACTTTAAAATGTGCTTGCTGCAACACATATTTCTCCATGCAAGAGAAGGTTCTCACACTGCAGAGCTGTTTTCACCTCTTTGAGCAGACTGACAGTAAATCTGAATCATTTTGTCCTATTCTGGGCTTCATATCTGTTTTCATCCTGGTGCTTCAGTATTGCTGGAATGAGAACAGCTGTGAATGGGCATGTTACTATCAGCATGTTTTCTGGAGGATCTGGACATGGTCTTGTCACAGCCTAAACAAGACTGCTCTTACTCTGAAGAAAGGAAAAATGACAATTTCATAAATATTCTGTCAGTATTTAGAACCTTATTTTCAGTAACAGTTTTCATAATCTGTCTTATGAATTCTATCTTCTTTCCATAAAAATTTATTCAAAGGGAGTCTAAGCTGCAGATAAAGTTGCATTTTGCAATTGGTTTTTTCTCTTTCCAATGTACAATTTTACATTTTATGCAGAGGTTAAATTGTGTTAACACTTCTGAAATCTCATCATGTGTAGTAACTAAGAGTCATCTGTCCTCCTCCAGGCTCTAGCTTGCTATACTCCAAAGAAGGTGAAAATTCAGAAAGAGAAAGCAAAAATTATTTTAAGCTGCCTTAATTTCCCTCCAGGTTTAGACACCCAAGGAAAAGACATCTTTGTTGTGAACTGCATTTTTAAGTAACCTACAGGCAGGCTTGCACCTCAAGAAAGCACTGAGCCAATAACTGTTTACCTCTTGTCCCGTATCAAAGATAAGAATTTCTATAAAGCTTTAGAAGAGGAATAATGCACCAGGTCTGTGCACAGCAGATCCTGAAAAAAATGGGTATCCCTATAAAAAACATTTTAACAACAAACATTTTCTGTAGCTAACAAAGAAACAGGTAAATTGGAATCTACTTTATTTTGACTCTTGCTTAGTAGTTTTCTGATAAAAGTTTCCATCCAAAACTTCCTACCTTGAAATAAAGTGAGGAATATGGACTGCAGCATCACAAAGAAAAAGTCATAGTTAAAAATAAGCTGAAACAGAATGACAAACAGGAGTCATAGTCTTCATGGGCTGTAATTGACAGAGCTCCCAGTGTGCTTATTTAGGATGCACTCTAGTGGACATACATATAATGAAATCAAACAAAGATACAAACAGTATGAAACAATAAAAAAAAATGAAAGCAACATGTCATTATAATTAATTTTTAGCATGTTTTAAAATAGTGTCTTACATTTTGAAGGCTGTATGAAAGTTGAAATTTTCATGGTCAAAATGACTGGACATTAAATGTAAATGGACATGAGTTACCAGTTTTTGAAAGTGTTAATTTAAATATTAAGAATCAGTTATACATATTGGTTTAAAAGACAAACTCCATCTGTTTATTCATTTACTCTATCCCTTTGAGATTAGCACAAGAGGGTGCTGTGCATGCAGTGTGAACAGGTGTAATTAGAACTGTGATATCACAGTGTGTCCTTAAATTACTCTACTGTTACTGTTACTAACAAATATAATTGTAAACTTTGTCAAAATCTGTTTACTGGAACATTAACCACAAGGGTGTATTCATACCACAGGAAAGGTTTTGACTATCGCAGAAACTGCAAACAAATCAGAATTATTATAGATAGCAAAGCCTGACCACTTAGACACAAAAAATAGTTCCACTTTGCATTACTCCAAAAGTTACATAAACATTTCTAAATATTTATACCTGGTAAATGACATTTTCCTCCTTTGACTTTAAGGATGCTCAGGTAAGACATGGCTATTAACAGTATTCAAAAGGCAGTGTAGCAATAAGATGGGCACAGGATTTTTTAATAGAGGTATTTTATCCTTAAGGGAAAAATAATACATTAATATATAAAAAATCAATAGTGCTCATGTTTTTAAAATTTTGTAAGATTATTCTTATTCTGATCTATGTGATCAAAACAAGTTATTCAGAGCAGACAAACAATTATTATGTGATTGACCTTTGTCTGTTATAGGTGCATAGTTATTTTTAATAGTTTGCCAACAATAGCAAAACCCTTAGACTCAGCAATACTATTAAAAAACGAAGTGAAATTATCAGAAAAATCTCTTTCATCCCAAGACTGAAGAATGCAGCGAATGCATTAACTATGCACAGATTTTGTAATGAAAGATACTTTCATTGCACAGTATTGGCCACAATCATCTAACCTGTAGTAGAAGACAGGGATGCAAAGGCACATTTTATTGAAGAACAGCAGGATTTCTTAATGCTGATGTTTTTTCCATTTATAATGAAGGGACAGAACATTCTTGACAACCTACACCAAGATACCAGTGAGTACAAAAATCTGTTTTGTAAAAATGCTATCTTTAATGATTAGAAAACTTATTTTTATAGATAACCATGGATCAAGCTAAATATTTTTCTAAATTTTTAGAAGGGAAGTTTTGGAAATAATAATGGTATTTAGTAGAGAACACATTTAATTTATTGATTTATAAATTCAGGAAAAATGCAGAAAAGTCTTAAGAACTTGACTAATCAAGACTAATATACAGACATTTTCAGCTTACCTAGCACTACACAACACCCAGAAAAGGTTCTAATAATAAATATATTTATCCAATAATAAAGCCTAGAGCAAACTCATCATGTTACAAAGATCACCTAACGACTTCTGTGAGACAAGATCTTCTAGTATATACTGAGTCAGAGTTAAATTTACCTCTTTCAAATATATTTGGGAAATCTGATTGGATTTTTGCACCAAGTTTGATGTCCAGAATACTCTCTCCATCTTTTAATCTGCAGAGCATTCCCTTTTTCTGTCAGAAACCATTCCAATTATTGGAAAATAATTTTCAGTAATATTTTATTATTTTAATATTGATTCCGATTATCATATTGCAGCATCTATCCTCAAATCATATTGAAACTTTAGTTATATTTTTATTATAGTTACTTTAGTATGCAATAAGTAGAAAATATATTTGCTGCTTTCACTTCAGCTGCAGTTTTCTTCCTGCAAGTCAGCCATGCTAGCTACTTTATGCTTTAAGAATAAAAATTAAGAAACAGTGTCAGAAATAACAGACTTTATACAAACACCTCGAAAACATACACCAGAGAAACAGTTATGTAAATCAGTTATATTTATAAAATACATAAATCAAGATACTACACTTCAGGACAGCAAATAAGGAGTAGAAAATATATTTACTGCTCTCAGGTCAGTTCTAGCTTTCTTCTTCTTCTTCTTCTTCTTCTTCTTCTTCTTCTTCTTCTTCCTCTACTGTTGGGAGATCTGTTTGACTCTGGAAAACAACAACAAAAATATTCCACCACTTACCAGCATTCACTGAACTTTGTAAAAAGGAAAATAGGAAAAAACTGCCCATGACAGACAAGTTGGTACTTTTCAGTATAATCGTGTATTCTTCTATTCAATACAGTGAATACAATGAATGCCATCACCAGACTTTTACTATAAAATCCAGCAAATTTGGATGATGCATTGTGATTTTGACAGCAGAATCAATAGCACATGCCTATATGTCTTATTTTATCAATCTGTTCTTAATTTGTAGCAAACATGTCACTGTAAAACCTGAAATAACATCCCCAAAAGCCACTGTAATCTAACACCTTCAGGCATGAAAACTTGGCACATGTAGGAAGGAGCAGGTACTTAAGACTCATTTTCACTTCTAGTTTTGCAATTTTCTTATTAAAGAGCCCATAAAATAATGCCCAAAGCCTCAAGAATATTTTAAAATATGTAATTATCGAAAATTATAAAAACTGGGGCTATATGAGATCTTGCACACACACCTGATTTACCTCAGTGGAAAAAACACCTGTGAAAAGTTGACCCTAAGAACAGTCATAAGTATTTTCATAAATCTATTGAGAGAACACTTGTAAAACAGGCTGCTATTAAAACAACTTTAAGTATAAAGCATATTAATATAACAAAATAAATTCTGAGCAAGAATTACACTACTGATACCAGAAATTAAGTGATTTCATACACAACTGTTCACACAGCAAAGAAAGGCTGCTTCCTCTAAGTATATTCATGCTTTAGTCAGTAACATATCTGAATACAAAATGTTGTTTTAAATCTTGAGGATTTAGTCAGCTAACACCACAGGTTCTTCTAGAATGGCTTAACTTCTACCAGAAAGCAGCTATGGGCTGTTTAGCGGCTGTGGCCAAAATACCACCCCTTAAACAGTTTTAACCTTTTGATCTGTAAGAATTAATCATTTATAATCTCTTTCTACACACTTACAGGTTCACTCTCATCTGGCTCCTCAGCTTTGGGTGAAGTAGGTGTTCCAGATCTATCTGTTCCTTCAGCTATTGTGTTTTCATTTTCCTGTGGTAATGAAAACCAGTTTTCAATTAAAATGTCCCATGTCATGAAATCACATTTCAGGGGTGTTAAAATGACATTATGTATTAATATAAAGAGAACACTTTAGATAAGTGCTATACAAATTTAGTAGCACAGGAACATGGTCTTGGTATGCTTAACCCTGTTTTTTTGGGTTTTTTTTAATTAAAAGCAATTTAAAATTTTTACATATTCATCTTTTCTGTCACTTTCATATGCTCATCTTCCTACAGTTGTGTTTTGCCAGTATTTTAACAGCTTTCTAAAAACTTAGGTTTCTAAAATACTCTGTGCTCTGCAGAGTTTTTAAAGCTTTACGGAGATAAGCATGCCAATTATCCATGTATGTTTTTACTGAAGCAGCATTAAAAGACCATAAACACGGGTAAGTGTATACACACTCTTCTGTCAGTACAAATTCCCATACACCACTAAGATATCAGAATCCAGATGCATTGCAATTTCAAACCACAGCTCTTTTCGCAGGTATAGTAAATGGATTTTGTGCTAACCCCCTGTAAAATATTACTCTGTTGGTACTTAAATTAGACATGCTTATTTTAAAAAACTTTCAATACCATCAAGAAATGGGGAAGCATCAGGTAAGCTGACCTTATACTGGATTTTTGCAGTAAATTTAAGTTCTGTTGTGACCAAAATTCAAGTATAAAACCCAGACTGCAGAAGCCACATGTTAGACATTTCCCCCTATCTACACTCCTGTTTCTTTATTTATGAGTTAGTTCAACACCCATGGGTTCTGCTTTGTGTTTTGTAATTGATGTCTGCTTCTGGAAAAATGGCTGATAAATGGTATTTTCAAACCACCAAGTAAGCATTGGTCAAACCTCTTGATCTTCCTGCTGCAACTGCATTTCAGCTTCTTTTTTCTGTGCTTCCAACTCTGCAAGTTCTTTCACCAATTGAGCCTGCAATCAGTTTAAGAAAGGACAAATTAGAAACGAAACAAGCCCCACATTTATCTTTTTCACCTCATTGTTTACAATGTATTTAATATTGAAATAAAAAAGTAAATTTAAAACATAACTGCTATGTTATGCTAATAATAAAGTCTTTTCAGTATCATCTGGTTTGACATTTTCAAAGGTTTGAGACTCTTATGGATAAAGAGGCTTTACTACCAAGAGGAAGATAAAACAGTTAAGTGAAGTTAGTGTACACACTTCAGATACTGTCTCATTACACAAGCTCTTTATCAGTCTGTATTAGTTATCTCCTATCCTTTGGATTAAGCTCTTTGATACTTTGTGTAGCACCTAGCACAGATGGATGAATCAATATAGAATCAAATCTATAGAAAAATTTGGCAAGCAATGTCATTAGCATTAATCATGTCCATCAGCAACCTTTAGTACTTACAACTGGAAATATCTAACAGGAAGTGTTTTTTAATTGTGAACATAAGTCCTATCACATCCAAACTTCAGAAACTGCATAATCTAAGTATTTACATTCAACAACCTTAGCAAATACTGTTTGCTCTTGCATTCTGTGAGTAGTTACAATTATGGTCATAATTTTCTATTCCTTTATGGTACATAAAAGCAAAATTTACCTCAATATTTGACTACAGCCAAAACTGAGTTAGGTTAAAAAAAAATGTATCTAATGTGAGTATAATCTCAGTGAATTATCTCTAGACACAATCTCTTTATTTTCATTTACTATTTTATATCACTCATGAAACCCTTAAGCACATTACTCTCGGTTTGTAAATTACTAAAGGCCAAATTTTAAAACTGCAAATTAAACAAAATGAATGCATCTTACACTAGAGCTGGGCTTAATGTGATCAACATAAATTTAAAATTAAGCTTTTGATTTTAACATTATGAAAGTCATCCATACAAGAAAACCAGTCAGGTCACACCAACATCACCATGGCAACACTGAGTTCATATGATTCCTTTACAAAGAATGGCTAGAAACAGAGATATTGTATTTACTTCTGATACTGTAAGCCCAAACAGTATTTTCAGTTACTTCTCACATAACTCCTAAATTGGCTGCCTTTTAACTTAACAGCCATCATTTTTTAATAGCATTTTACTCCACAGTATGTAACTTTTCCTACCCATGTGCTGACTAATAATTTCAGTTACTTAGAAAAGTGAGATTAAAACACTTGCTTTATGCCCCCTTTATCAAAATCATTATGTAGCTATTAGAAGTATACAAAGAGCTCCAAGATGCCACAGCAACATATGCTGCTTGGAGTTATCTATTATTAATAACCTGACGTTGTTCTTCAAGTTTCCGCTGCTCTTCTTCCTGGATTTTTAACCTTTCAAGTTCTGCTAGGGCTGCCTCCCGTTCTTGTTCTATCTCAGCTCTCTCCAGCATTCTCTATTTCAGATGTAACACAGAATCAATTAAACATAAAAATGAAAGATATATTAAATAGCATCGACTATATTGTAGCAATCTTTTTTTTTTTTTTTTTTTTTGCATAAGTTAGATCTACCTTTTTTTCTTCATCTAAGTTTCTTCTGTAATTGTAAATCCAGTGTGCAAGATACTCTATTGGATCTTCTGGCCGATGCTCTACAACCTCTGCCAGTCCCTTCCTCAAACAATTTCCCAGGCATTGCTTCAGATACTGAGACTCCATCCAAATCTACTGACAATAAACAGACAGATATTAGACATCAGTCATCAGTGTTAGAATTAAGTTAGGGGCTTTAAGAACTCTTGTTTCAGGTGTCAAACACCGATTATGACATTACTTTTTACTAAGCTTTCAATTTATACAAGCAAGTTATTTAGCAGCAGTTTAGCTCTCAAAAGCTCCAGTGACAGGTCAGTTATAACAATCACTGCAGAAAAAAAAAATGCTTAAACCCCACCTTACTGTTTGGACATGTATAATTCATAAACCACTTGGAAACACACTGCTAATTCTAGGGCTGCAGGGCTGCATGATAACAAAAAAAAAAAAAAACAAAAAAAAAAAAACAACCAAAAAAAAAAAACAACCTTAAAAAGCACAACAGGACATTGAAAACTCCTATACAGAACACAGGCAACTAACTCTGAGGACAATTAAGTGGTAGTTTGAGTTTGAACTGTCAAAGCTATCTTTAAGACATGTGCAAGGCGAGGGCCTGACCGCTCTACAGTTACGAAAGGCACGGATCTCCGTGCACACACTCCACCAGCCCAGTTTAAGTACACAGGAGCCTTCCTTTGCTGTCAAGGGGGCTGAAAACGTGCCAGGGCAGAGAGCCCAGGCAATTAATTGACAGCAGCGACTACAGCCCCATCTTCCGCGCTCACGGGGGCTCCAGGTGGTCGTAACGGTGCCGACCCTCGTAACCCGGAGCCGCCGCCCTCGCCCTCTTGGCCGGGCTCCTCCGCCCTGCGCCCGGTGCGCGGAGCCCTGGGAGGGCCGGGCCCGTTACCCCGCCTCAGTCCTGGCAGCCGGTGGTGTCTGCTCTGCTCTGCTGTAGCCGCTCGCCTTCCCTCGGACAGCAGTCCCCTCAGGCTCCTTCCTCCCTGGCAGCAGCTCCCGGAGCCCCGGGGCTGCAGCCCCCGGCCCGGCCCGGCCCCGCTCCTACCGCCCGGCCCCGCTCCTACCGCCCGGCCCGGCCCGGCCCCGCTGCTGCCGCCCGGGCCGGCCCCAGCGCGCGGGGTTGCTCCGCAACAGCGCCGGCAGCGCAGCGGCCCCAGCGCCGCCCGCAGGAGCGGACGGAGGGGTGAAGGGCCTGCCCGGACAGGTCACCGATGGCACAAAGCCGGCAGGAGAGGCCGAGGCCTCACAGGGTTTTGTGGCCCTTGAGAGAGACTTCGACAGGGTGGAGGGATGAGCAGAGAAGAAACTGAAATTCAGCAATGGCAGATGCACGTGGGGAGGAATAATCCCAAGTGCTGGGGGTAATCTGCTGGGGAGCAGCTCTGTGGAGGAGGATCTGATGGATAACAAGATCTTGCAGCAGTGCCCTTGTTGCCAAGAAGGCCAATGGTATCCCCGGGTGCATTAGGAAAAGCACTGCTAGCATGTCAAGGGAAGTGAATCTGCCCCTCTGCTGAGGCTCTGCCTGGACTGCTGTGTCCAGTTCTGGGCTCTCCAGGGACAGAAAGACATGGAGATCCTGGAGTGGGTCCAGCAGAGAGCTATGAAGATCATTAAGAGACTTGGGCATCTCTTATAAGGAGAGAGAGAGCTGAGCCTGTTCAGCCTTGAGAAGAGATGCTTGATAAAGGACCTTATTAATATGTATAAATATCTAAAGGGGAGGTGCCAAACTCTGCTTTGTGGTGCCAGCCACTAGGACACCAAGGAATGGGCAGAAACTGATGCATAGGAAGTTCCATTTAGAACTTTACTTTGTGCAGGACTGGAACAGATTGCCCAGAGAGGTTGTGGACTCTAGAAATATTGAAAACTGTCTAGATGCAGTTCTATGCAATGTGCTCTAGGATGACCCTGCTTAAAGCAGGGAGGATGGGCCAGATGACCCATTGTGATCCTTTCCAACTGTTTTAATACCATCTCTCTGTGAGCTGTTTCCCTTCACAACTGATGCGATCTTTTCTGCTCCCTGCCAAACTCATCGGCTGATGGTCACCTCATGTTTACCAGCTGTTTGTTTTGCTGTCAACTTCTAATGGGGTATTCAAAACGCTTGTAATTATAAATTGCGACGCCCAAGTGCGGGATGAACATTCCCTTGGCCGCTGCCCCGAAGGAAGGAACGGCAGCGGGCGGAGGTGCCGCGGGCGGCGCGGGGCCGCTGCAGCGCGGGGATCGGCCGGGGGTGTCGCTGGCGCGCCGCGGACGCTCCGCGCAGGGCGCAGGGCGCAGGCGCCGCCCAGCCCGAGGCGCCGGCGCGGCCATGGCGGCGGAGCGCGGCGCGGCGGCCGAGGCGCTGGTGGGGCAGGTGGTGCTGCCCGGGGACCTGCTGCTGCTGCCCGCGCACTACGACGAGGACGCGGAGGGCGAGCGGCTGCGGCTGAGCGCGGGCACGGCGACGCCGGGCCGGCTGCTGTGCGGGCCGGGGCTGCGGCGCAGCGGGGCCGGGCTGCTGGTGACCAAGTGCGGGCTGCTGCGGCACCGGCCCGCGGGCGGCGGCGCCTACTGGGTGGACTCGCAGCAGAAGCGGGTAGGGGCCCGGCGGGACCCGGGTGTCCGTGTGTCTGTGTGTGTGTGAATATGTGTGTCTGTGTGTTAGCCCGCGCTCCCCTGACCCTCTGTCCCCCTCCCCCGCTGCAGTACGTGCCGGTGAAGGGCGACCACGTCATCGGGATCGTGACGGTCAAAGCGGGGGACGTGTTCAGGCTGGACGTGGGCGGCAGCGAGCCCGCGTCCCTGTCCTACCTGGCCTTCGAAGGGGCCACGAAGAGGAACAGGCCAAACGTGCAGGTGGGTGCCCTGGTCCGCTGGCCGTGACGCTTTAGCTGCGTCCTTTGGTGGCGCCTGTGTCGCGTTTCAGTAGCTTTTCTTAGGGGAAGTTAGGGGAGGTCTGGTTCTAATGGTTTCGCCTTGGTCCTCCTCGGAGCGTTTTGCACCACTGGCCGCGGCCTTTCTGGGGTTTCTTAGGACTGTAACTAGCGTGGTTTGTTCTCTCTCAGCTGGCTGGGTGCTTCACTCTCATGGTTTCGTTTGCCAGGAGCAGATGCAGTTCATAAGGTGCATCCGAAAGGGCGCTCCGATGTTAGGGTTTTAAAACGTGACGCTGGTAGAAAACATTAGTTGTGTGGGTTCTTTTAACAGCGCTGTTATGAATGGTTGTGTTGCACATGCATGCCGTAGTTTCTGCACTCCCATGAAATGCCATTACCAGAATGTAAAAGGTAAAACTGTAAAGAAAAACAAAATCGGTGTGATATTTTTTATTGTTGTCCTGCTAAATGATTATAAGAGATAAAAACCTATACTTTTGTTCTTTGACACTGTTTTGTTTAGGTGGGAGATCTTATTTATGGTCAGTTCGTTGTAGCAAATAAAGACATGGAACCAGAGATGGTGTGTATAGACAGCAGTGGAAAATCAAGTGGCATGGGAATAATTGGACAAGACGGCTTCCTCTTTAAAGTTTCCTTAGGTCTAATAAGAAAGTAAGTACTAAAAATGTAATTAGTCACTCTCACGTATAAGATTACCACAGCTGTTTCTTCTGAGCAGTGTGGGCAGTTTGGTAAATCAGACTGTGTGATTCTTGTAGTGTATTGAAACCAGATTTACTGAACAGAGTATGGATTGATCTAGAAGGAAAGTGTATTTTTTCTCTTAAGAGACTTAGAAGCTCTTTTGTATGGTGTTACATCACCTGTTTAAAAATAGTGATGTGGATGCCAAGGCAGTATGGAAAATAAAAGTAGTGTCTTGGGGTAATCAAACATTCAGGAGTGTTTCAGGTATGTACATATTACCTTGGAGTTTAAAACTTGGCAATGCTTATTGTCCTCTTTCTGTTTCGTGGGGTAATAGAGGGGTGTATGTTTGGCTGACAGCTGATTAAAGGGATCTTTGCACATCAGTACACATTATTTTGACTTCCAAAGAAAAATAAATAACATTGAAATAAAGATACAGATTTTAAAAATGTAGAATTTTAGTTTAAAGCTGACACATAAATCCAGGAACTGTTTCATAAGCTTTTAAATGTGTTGTGAACTTTGGAGTTGCTTATGATGATGTAAATACATGATATTTTTTTGACTGTTAAAATATACCATATTACATGGATAAACAATAGTCAAAATTTATTGTTGCTTTTTGGGTGGAGTTTTTTGTTTGTTTTGTCATTCTTTGCATAATCAATCTGGCACTGCAGAGCAGCTTTTTCATACCTGGCATTGTCTGATTTATATGTCCTATTAGAAGTCAGCATGAACTGATACAAAAGCTTCTTGCAGCCATTCTGTTTTCCAAATTTTGTCTGTATACAAGTAAAAAAAATAACAGCATATTACAAGTAAATTGCTAAATCTTGATATGCTTTTAGTTTTTGTGAATACTTGTCTAATCTTGATTTAATCCTAGACGTATTACAGTATTTAGTATGCCATCATCTAATAAAAATGAAGTAGGCTATTTATTGCTGTTAATACTGTTTCCTGAAATAGAAGGGAAGTCCTGTTTTGAAAGACACCTCTGGGGTGTCAAATAAATAGCACATCAAAAATGTCATTTAGTCAAATTGTGTACTTTTAGAATTTATTAGCTCATAGAATTGTTGTAAAATTATCAATTAACTTTAAACTTATCAGGGATTGCTTCTGAATCTAATGAGAAAAGTAAATTTCTAATGGCTTTAGTTTTTTAGGTGCATGCATTTTATATGCCAGGAGCCTTGAAAATCTGATACTGTATTGCTATGTTGGATGTATATGCAACTTTATCATCTTTCAGTGTTTCTTAAATGGCTCCCATAATAGCAGTACTGCTGGTGTTACTGGTCAATAATAATGTGGTCTCTGTAAGTAATGTGATCACTCCTTCCTCTGACTTTTTTTTTGTCTTGTTCACAGGCTCTTGGCTCCCAAATGTGAAATAATTCAAGAGTTGTCACAATTGTACCCATTTGAGCTGGTGCTGGGAATGAATGGAAGAATATGGGTAAAAGCAAAAACAGTGCAACAGACTTTAATTATAGTAAATATTTTGGAAGCCTGTGAGTATATGACTGCACAACAGAGAAAACAAGCGCTTGCCAAACTATCAGGGAACTGATAAGAGAAAACCTTGAGGATTTGTTTGTGATGACTGTAGGGTGTTTTGGTTATTTTTGTATTCAGATTTATATTAAAAGACTTTTTTTTAATGAAGTACTAGACTTTGGTTGGTCTTCATTTTCCTTCTTTATCCACTCAGCTTGATTCTGTGTTGTTTAAGGAGTTTGTTTCGACTCACCTTTGTGGTTATGAAGCCCTGTTTATGTTCATGAATTTTCTGACTAATGGGTCTTTGGAAGCTTTCATTAGCTCTGAAGTTTGAAGCTTAACTACCTAGGTGGTCTTTAAAAAACTGGTCATTTTGTGAGCAGCATGTAATTGTTTTTATGGTTATTAAAATTTCAAACCATCCATGTTTACTTGGGATAGCAAAAAGTATCCCATGGGTCATTAATTTTGGTTGGTTGCTCTATTTATACAGTGACATTTAGTACTTATTTAATATATTATTAAATTTGGGATTAGAAATGCAGGTAGAGAATACCAGAAAATAATTGCAGGGTGTAGCATAAAGCAGTCACAGGGTGGTTAAGGCAAATGATCAGATAAGACCAAAAATATGTTAACAGGGACATTGTCACTTTCCCTAAGTGATGACCTGCCTGT